GAAAACTGGCCAGTGGCTATCCGAAAGTCCTTGCTCCCTCAGCTAGTGTCAGCGGCTTGTCCACCAGACATGGTGGGGACACTGTACTTCAACCCTCCTCTGCCTTAGTTTCCAGTGGAGGTGAGTAAAGGGGAGACATTACCAGCATGGGACTCTGCTATTTAAACAAGATCTCAGGAGCAGTGTGCCTACTGTTCCTTAGGGTCCATTAGCAATGCAGAACCCCAGAATTTACTCTGGCCCCACAGAATCAGAATCTGCCCAGGTCCTCAGGGGATTTGTTTCAGGCTAAGTTCCAGAATCATCAGACAGGTTCTTAGCTGTCATTTGCTCTTCTCTGTCCCTGTGACTGTGAACAAAATTCACAACCTCACTGGACCCATTCCTGCCTTTTCTAGGGGATGAGAAAATAAAATGTGGATATTATAGAGTTGGTTTCAGGGAGGTGATAGTCTCCCATATGCAGAGTAATAAACAGCAAAATGCACATCTTCCTTGAAATTTCTATAATGTCTTCTTTTCTAACAGTGACTTGTGCAACAAATTAGGCACATGTCTGTGTACACCATCATGGTCCTCAATGATCAGAGACATGAAACCCTGGACTCAGGACTTCCTCCCTCTCTGCAACCCAATTTCCAGATGTAGTGCCAATGGTGGGATTGAGCAGTGAAGGAGCACCACTCAGTCAAAGCCAGCCCCACCCTTCCCTGCACACATGTTTGTTCTTGGCTTCTCAGGTCTGTCCTTCCCACATCTGTGCAAGGGGATAATGATGTGCAAGGGGCCCCAGGAGCAGAGCACACATTTACACACTTTCCTTCCTGGAGAGATTGGGTTTGAGGCAATGCCATGCTCTGCCTTTGTCAATCAGGGTGCTAAATTATCCTGGAAGAAATCAGAGCTGGAGGCTGAGACCTTGGAGACAAGGACAAGTCTGAGAGATGAAGGCAGAGATTGAGAGTAGGCTGGGTAGAAAAGAGACCTTTTAAAAGAATGAATACCCCCAAATGTGTTAATTATCCTCTGTGGCAGACTTCAGTCAGTGCAGGCCTGAAGCTGGCTGCAGGGGTCGATCTCTATTATGCTTGGATTTTAACTTCCTGGGAGGGAAGGAGATATAGTCTCTCAGAAGGTGCTAAATGAATGAGGAAGAACATATTCAGTCAAGTTGAACAAGCCTCAATCTACATATCTGTGAAGGGAATGTTTGAGGGGCTCCCCAAAATGGTATCGGCAGTGGGACCTTTGGGAGGTGAGAGGGAGTGAGGGTGGAATCCTTGTGAATGGGATGAGGAGAACAATAGGATGAAGAGACCAGAGCTCTGTTTCTGCTTTGTGAAGATATAAGAGAAGACAGACACATGTGAACCAAAGTGAGGGTCTTCACTGGAACCCACCACCCCAGCACCAGATCTCAGGCTTTTAGTCCAGAACAGCATGAAAGGTTCTTTGTTTTGTTTGAAAGCCATTCAGTTGGTAGTAATTTGTTACAGTATCCTCAAGTGACTTAGATGTTAACCAATGAGAAATTTGTTTGAATAACACTATAAAGTGATCAGACTAGTGGGGACATTGAACATGTTTGGCTCAGGACTGAGCAAGTAATGGTAAGGTGGAGGATAGGGGAGAAAGACCCAATTTCTTAGCCAAGGTCCTGGCTGGGATGTGTTGGTATGCCAGCAACAACCTTTAAAGTGTGTGGGTGTTTCAATGCATGATGTTGGGATCACAGTTTTTAAATGACCAAAGCACTTCCAAAAGCCCTGAAGATGAGCTGATGCCCTGGAGTCTCCCCAGACCTCTTCTAGCCTCTCTCCTCCAACTCCTTCTGGATCCCATCTCCTGTCTTCATTCATGCTAGCTGGATCCCCAATGGTCACTGCAGGTGATGTGTTTCTATGACCCATAAGCCTGTAGCTCTAACTCAGCACTACCCTCTCTGAGCACGATTTTGATACCATCTTCTGCTCTAACAACATCAGTGCCAGCTAAGAGGTTGTCTAGCCTGTCCTAACAGTCATGACTAGTCATATCATAGTCGGGGACTTTTATCACACCTTACCTTATCCTAGCACCCAGACAGATATAGAAATTGTAACTGTGGGCTCCATCCCCCCATGGGTACACTCCTTAGACATCATCACACAGACTGAATATCTGCCAGCAATACTGTGTATGCCTCCTGTACATATTGACAAATCACCAACTGCATGCCCAACTCAATTTTAAATATAGGAATCCCAAGCTAAACAAGACAGGGTCTCTGCTTCCCTGAAGCTTCTGCTATGATTGAGTAGCTCACAATCAGGAACTAAAAATGATAACAATATCAAATAGGGATCACGACAACCAACAGTATGATGGAATAAGGTTGACAGTAAGAGGCTATTAGTGCTTGAAGTTACCTGGGCCAATGCTTACAGAAGAAGTAGCAGCCATGTACATGTGTAGAAGGGATACCCCTTAGGCAGGGGAAAACGTTGGTGTGAGGTCCCCAGGTGGGAACAAATCCATCATGTCACAAGGAGATAATTGAAGCATAAAGACCTAGTTCAGAGCACAGGGAATCAGGTAGGATTGGAGGCTGGAAGACTCTGGGCATGATGGGGTTTGAGGCTCTAAAAGAGAGTTTGGAGAGTTAGGTAAAGGAGCTAGGAGGCAGACTATGCTCTGTACCTTTAAAAGAAAGGGTCATAGTGAGGGGAAGAAGCAGAAGAGATCCAAGAGTTGAGGCTTAAGTCAGAGTTACAGGGAAGAACAGATCATGTCTTGAACTGAAAGTAGATCAATCAGAACATGGCCTGAGTGAAGCTTTTACTGAGTCCTGTGTGGTGGTTTTGTGTTCCCCAAAATATTGTGTACCTTAATAAACTTATCTGGGGTCAGAGAACAGAAAAGCCACAAGATACTTAGGCTAGAAAACGTTAGCACACGCCTTTAATCCTAGCATTCCAGAGACAGAAATCCCTCTGGATCTCTGTGAGTTTAAGGCCGCATTGGAAACAGCCAGGCATGGTGACTCACGCCTTTAATTCCAGAAAGCAGCCTTTAATCCCAGGGAGTGGTGGTAGAAAGCAGAAAGGTTTATAAGGCGTGAGGACCAGAAACTAGAAGCATTTGGCTGGTTAAGCATTTGGCTGGTTAAGCATTCAGGCTTTGGAGCAACACAGTTTAGCTGAGATTCATTCTGGATGAGGATTCAGAGGCTTCAAGTCTGAGGAAACAGGACCAGCTGAGAATTGGCAAGGTGAGATAGCTGTGGCTTGTTCTGTCTCTCTGACCATCCAGCATTTCACCCCAACAACTGGCCCCGGGTTTGATTTTATTAATAAGACTCTTTAACATTCATGCTACAGTCCTGGTATCCAGCCAGTGAAGATCCATTGGGAAAGTACTTGGCGAGTATGTGCAGTGGCTGTGTGAGACCTCCCATCCTAAGGCAGGATACCTACTTACAGACCCTGTCTTCTTTAGGACAGTCGGCCTGTAGGGCAAGTCCTCAGGCAACATACTCATTTTCTAGATGAGGACACCAAGGGTCAGGATGGTGGATTGACACTCCTATCACACTTCAAGACAGATAAAAAATCTGTATTCCAGGTAGCCTCCCTGGTGATGTGAGTAGCAGTCCAGTCATCCTTGTTCCACATCTAGTATCCTCCTATGAGTGAGTACATACCATGTTTGTCTTTCTGAGTCTGGGTTACCTCATTCGGGATGATTTTTTTCTAGATCCATCCATTTGCTTGCAAACCTCATGATGTCATTGTTTTTCTCTGCTGAGTAGTATTCCATTGTGTATATGTACCACATTTTGTTCATCCATTCTTCAGTTGAAGGGCATCTAAGTTGTTTCCATGTTCTGGCTATTACAAACAATGCTGATATGAACATAGCTGAACAAGTGCTCTTGTGGTATGATTAAGTATTCCTTGGGTATATGCCCAAGAGTGGTATAGCTGAATCTTGGGGGAGATTGATTCCCAATTTTCTAAGAAAGCGCCATATTGATTGGAGGCTACCTGGAAAACAGGACCCCAAGAAAGACACGGGGATCGCCCAATGACGGAGAAATGGAAGAGATCTACATGAATAGCCTGGACATGAGTGGGGGTAGTGAAGGGTGAGGGTCAAGGGAAAGAGAGCTTGGGGGAGTGGGAGATCCCAGCTGGATCAGCAACAGAGAGGGAGAACAAGGAATAGGAGACCATGGTAAATGAAGACCACATGAGAATAGGAAGAAGCAAAGTGCTAGAAAGGCCCACAGAAATCCACAAAGATACCCCCACAACAGACTGCTGGCAATGGTCGAGAGACAGCCCGAACTGACCTACTCTGGTGATGGGATGGCCAAACACCCTAATTGTTGTGCTAGAAACCTCATCCAACTACTGAGGGATCTGGATGCAGAGATCCATGGCTAGGCCCTGGGTGGAGCTCTGGGAGTCCAATTAGCGAGAATGAGGAGGGTTTATATGAGCAAGAATTGTTGAGACCAAGGTTGGATAAATCACAGGGACAAATAGCCAAATGAATGGAAACACATGAACTATGAACCAATGGCTGAGGGGTCCCCACTGGATCAGGCCCTCTGAATGGGTGAGACAGTTGATTGGCTTGATCTGTTTGGGAGGCATCCAGGCAGTGGGACCAGGTCCTGTGCTTATTGCATGAGTTGGCTGTTTGAAACCTGGGGCCTATGCAGGATCGCTTGGCTCGGCCTGGGAGGAGGGGACTGGACCTGCCTGGACTGAGTCTATCAGGTTGATCTCAGTCCTCGGGGGAGGCTTTGCCCTGGAGGAGGTGGGAATGGGGGGTGGGTTGGGGGGAAGGTGAGGGGGGCGGGAGGGGGGAGAACAAGGGGATCCTTGGCTGATATGTAGAACTGAATTGTATTGCAAAATAAAAAAATTTTTTTTCAAAGTATTAATAAAAAAATCTGTATTCCAAATGGGTCTTCTGATAATCGACCCCATGCTTTGATGCTCTTTCTTCAGATCAAGTTCCTTCCTCTGCAAAAGCCATGACCTGCTTTAAGCACACCCCTCCAAGTCAAGACAACTTGTTGAACATTGTCCCTGGCATGGAGCCCAAGCTAGTGAGTTTCCCAAGAGGGCCATTCTTAGGGTTGCTTTTTGTGTACCCAGATTATTTTTCTATAAGTTACCCTTGACTTTCATTCTTCGACTTCTTTGGTCTTATTACTTAACCACTTTGTAACTTGCTTTCCTCATCTGTAAAATGGGAACTCTAACCTTCTTGCCAGAATCAGTATAAATACAAAAGTAGTGAATCCCACTTTTAATTACTATTGAATAAAGGACTTTGTCCTTTTCCTGACACTGACCAGTACTACTCATCTTTGTGTAAATAATCTCAAATGGGGACAGACCTTCCTAAACAATGCCCATAACCATACTCAATATTTATTGACCACTAGGCAAAGAGCTGTGACCGAGTTTACATTATTCATTACCGGAGTTAATCTTCACAGGAACCCCAGGAGGTATCTGCTGGGATTATTGTTCCCATTTTGCAGATTTAGCTAGGGACACCTATTACTCTTACATTGCTCACCAAGGATTCCATGGATGGAGAGCAGAGTCAAGAGCCAAATTCTATCCCTCTGCCTACAGAGCAGAATGGGTGCTCTGGCCCATTGGTATGTCCTATCCCTCATGGTAACTCGAGTTGTGCTGTTCAGCCAGGCTGCCTTGGTAATTATCCTCTGCAGCTGACATCAGTCAGCACCAGGCCTGAAGCTGGTGGCAGGGGAGTGTCTCTCAATTAGGCTTGGAGTTTAACTTCTAGAGAAGAAACAAGAAACAGGCTCTCAGAAGTTGCTAAGTGAACGAAATTGAAATTGCCAGAAATGAGTTGCCTTAGGGGAGATAGACTTCTCACTTCCCAGGTCACAGAAATTTTGTTTTCTCTCTCTGGCAGAGTGCTGACCCAGCAGAAGCCATACAGCCTTACAGTTGGCTCAGATGGAACTTTAAAGGGTCTTAGAAATTTGAAGCAAATATAGATGGAAGGATTTCTAGTACAGTGCCCTCTGTTGTACAGTGACACTGTAGCATGGTGTCTTCTGTCACAGAGGGCTCTATATAGTCCTGGGAGCATGAGTCTCAGAGTTAGGCTGATGTGATCCTGCCTTCATCCACATGATCTTGATCAAGCTGGGTGCTTCATCATCTGTGCAAAAACAGCATTCAAACTGATGAAAAGTGTCACTGAGAACACGACACCAGATCATGTTAGCGCAGTGTGGCTAAGCTCACACTCCTTCCTCACACAAAGATCTTAGAAGGTTTTGGATTATGAGTAGTCCACTTTAGTTATGCTGATTATTCTGTTAATGCTATCAACATTGGCAGAGCACAACTTCGCTTTCTCTTATTCTTTTTTTTTTTTTTTTTTTTTTTGGTTTTTCGAGACAGGGTTTCTCTGTGTAGCTTTGCGCCTTTCCTGGGACTCACTTGGTAGCCCAGGCTGGCCTCGAACTCACAGAGATCCGCCTGGCTCTGCCTCCCGAGTGCTGGGATTAAAGGCGTGCGCCACCACCGCCCGGCCGCTTTCTCTTATTCTACACATTCCAGAATGATACATTTAGAAAAACAACTCCTCAAATTTCTGTCTCTAGGTGTTTCATTTATGGTATTTTTAGGTTGGGGGCTAGGGAGGCATCAGTTGCTAATGTGCCTGTTGGACAAGCACAAAGATTGAATTCATATCCTCTCCTAACACACACAAGTAAAAAGCTGAAGTGGGGGTACCTGTCACCCAGTGGCTTGGGGGAGGGGAGACAGTTACATCCTTGAAGCTCATTGGTCAGTCAGCCTAGCTGAATTGGTGAGATGCTGTCCTAAAAATTAAAGATGGGAAGTGACCCAGGAAAACACCCCAAAGTTGACTTGGGGCTTCCACATCAACAGTCAACTTTGTTTCATATGAACAAGGACAGACAGACAGACAGACAGACACATACACACACACACACACACACACACACACACACACACACACACACACACACCATATACTATACAACACAGAAATTTTTCTCAGATATCTTAGACAACCAAATAATCTATTTTCACAATGAGATGCTATGATTTACTTACCAAAATGATAAAAATTATGAAGACAGACAGTCTCAGATATGGCAACTGTGCAGACTGTGACATTGCAAAGTGGTACTGCCTATGTAACAGTAGATACATGCCTATCCTGTGGCCATGACATTGCAATTTCCAAAGAGAAGGTAAACATATATCTAGAAAGGTTTTAACCAAAATATTCATAGCAGACATTTTATTCTAGCCACAGACTGTGAGCAGCCCATGTATCCATCAATGAGAATGGGAGGAAAATGTACAAATGAATACATCTGAAAAAAAAGAACAAGGTATTGATTAATATAATATCATGGATGAATCTCAAAACCATGCAAAATGAAAGAAGTCTTATAAAAGGCACACCCACCCACCGTATCATTCTGTCTATGTGAACTTCTAGAATAGGCAAGTCTATTGTGGAAACGATGGTAAACTTCCAGCCTCAGGTGCCATCCCAGCAGCTGAACAGCCTGAAAGAGAAGTGAGGTCACAGGCTGTCTCCAAATAAGAGCCACAGGCTAGGACTACACAGAACCAGACCTTCCCAGAGCATCCCAACCCCGGCCCCCACAGTGAGTTTCCAGTCTTGGGGACAGTCATCTTCTGCAGGCTTGGTGTAGACAGCTGAGTCAAAAACCAATGGGAGACTGAGTCATAGGAAGGCACCCATGTTTTTATAAATTCTGTCGCCAGTAACTTGACCCTTTTCTCACTTTCAATATTAGAGAAAATTCTTAATGCTTCCATCACGGACTGGGATTGGTCTCTTTTTGATGCATACAAGAACTTTCTACTCTCCTTAACAAAGCCTGACCTCAGAAAAGCCTAACAAGGGTCAAATTCACTTAGCTTGCCTCAGAGCAACCTGAAGGATGTGAAATGTCTCACCCTACCTTGACCTAGTTCTTTATATAAGCAAGTAATAATGCTAAAATCCAGCCCCAAGTAGCTATTCTGTCTCACTCTAAGTGAAGGGGCAGGAGGAGGAGGAGGGACTATGAAGCATGTGTGACAAGTCCGGGGAGCAAAGGCTCACAAAAGAGCAAGGTCTCACTACAGAATTATACAATGTTTCCCCCATGAAGCTTACCATCACACTACTAGAGGTCTAATGATAGTGCTTCCTTTCATTTGGTGCCATGTGTGACTATAAGGAAAAATCTGCAAGCCATACTAGACAGATGAGCAAATGGACAGGGAAAGGGGAATGCAATGTAAGGAGAGAGATGGAAATTCTGTGAAAGAATCAAAGAAAAGTGTCCAAGATCAAAAGCATCCTATCAGAAACTAAGAAGTCCTTTAATGAGCTTAGCAGTGGACCAGGATGCTGCAGAAAGGATCTCTAAGTGAGGCTGTGTAGCTTGAGTTTTCCTGCCTGGCCCACAGTCAGGACAAATCTCTCTCACCTGCCAGTCCCACAGCCGCTCAGACCTGACCAAGTAAACACAGAGACTTATATTGCTTACAAACTGTATGGCCGTGGCAGGCTTCTTGTTAACTGTTCTTACAGCTTAAATTAATCCATTTCTGTAAATCTATACCTTGCCACATGGCTCGTGGCTTACCGGCATCTTCACATGCTGTTTCTCATCGTGGTGGCTGGCAGTGTCTCTCTGACTCAACCTTCCACTTCCCAACTTTATTCTCCTCCTTGTCCTGCCTATACTTCCTGCCTGGCCACTGGCCAATCAGTGATTCATTTATTGACCAATCAGCAACACACTTGACATACAGACCATCCCAAAGCAAGGGTGTATCAGTAGAAACCACTGACAACAAAGAACTAAGGCTGAGCAGATGGGACTGCCATCCAGGGACTGTACTGCTACAGAAGGTGGAGACTCCACATAATAGGGCATTGTTGATGTACATCAGGTTTATCTTCTAATATAAGGCATGTGCCATGCCCGCCTAATGAACTGGCATGGTGGCATTTGAAGGTGAACTTTTATTAGTTGTAAGTGTCTGCTGCTTATACACAGGTCTCCACTAAACTAATCTTTAAAAGAAAGGAAAGAAAATGGAATTCTAAAAGTTCTCAGTTGAAACCAAATAAATCAGAATAAGAGAGAAAGACAAAAATAAGAACAATGAAATAGAACAAGTAGAAGAAAATTGTGACAGTTGATATAAAATATTACCTCAACTACGTCAGGACTCACTGTGAATGTCAACATTCAAAGTTGGAGATTTAGCTCAGTGGTAGAGCATTTGCCTAGCAAGTGCAAGGCCCTGGGTTCGATCCTCAGCTCTAAAAAAAAAAAAGACAAAAATAACAAAATTAGAAGACAGATTGCCAGAGTGGGTCAAAAATAAGATCCAACTACACATTGTCTACAAGAAACTCATTTTAAATATAGACAGAAGTTGGATTAAAAACTAAATGGAGAAATGATGCTGACAATGATCCAAAGGAAATATGGGTCGCTATATTAATTTCATACAGAATAGATTCAGAGGAGGAAAATTTAACAGGGCTGAAAAGGGCAGTGTATAAAGATACCAGGACCACTTCTTCAAGGAGACATCACAGTCTGTAACATGCATACACCTAGCAGTAGATTATCAAACTAGGTAGGAAAAATCTTATGGAGCTGTGAGAAGCATATGAAAGCAGTTGCTGGAGACCTCAGTGTTCCTCCATCAGAGATAAAGCCAGCAGGCAAGGACAGATTGAACTCAGCAATATCTTTAGTCAAAAAGATGTAACTGACATCTACTAACTACTTAATCCAACAACAGCAAAATACACCTCTGCTAGCTCCCAGGGGATGTTCATGAACATAAATGACATCTCAGGCCTTAAACATCTCCACATGAGCTTTAAATAATAAAAATGTACAAGATTTATTTCAGAACATCATGAAAATCACCCAGAAATCAAGAACAGGAAGATAACTGCAGGCTTCCCAAACATGCTAAGGTTGAACAGGATGCATCCAAATGATACATGGATCAAGGAATAAATATTGAATGAAAG